TTAAGGCCTTTCATACGGAAGCCCGGATTGAGGGGGCGTATCTCCTTTCTCGTGAAAGATTTGGGGGTGGTTCTTTCACTGATATCCCCTTTTTTCAGTGCCCTATTGGCCCATGCACTCAGCAGATTGGCCAAATTGCGAAGTCCGTTTTCGCCCAAAATTAAGGCCCTTCTCACTAAGGCTCGGATTGCGGGGTTCGTATCTCCTTGCTCGTGAGATATTTTGGGGTGGTTCTTTCACTGAGGTCCCCCTTTTTTTTCAGTGCCCTATTTTCTCGTGCACTCGTATTGGCCAAATTGCGAAGTCCGTTTTCGCCCGAATTGAGGCCCTTCTTACGGAAGCCCACATTGCGGTGGTCGTATCTCCTTTCTCGTGATAGATTTGGGGGTGGTTATTTCACTGAGGTCCCCCTTTTTTTAGTGCCCTTTTGGCCCATGCACTCGGATCGGATAAAATGCAAAATCTGTTTTTCGCCGGAAATTGAGGCCCTTCTCATGGAAGCATGAATTGCGGGGCCGTATCTCCTAACTCGTGATAGATTTTGGGGTAGTTCTTTCACTGAGGTCCCCCTATTTTTCAATTCCCTATAGGCCCGTGCACTGGGATCGGTCAAATTGCGAAGTCCGTTTTCGCCCGAAGTTGAGGCCCTTCTCACGGAAGCCCGGATTGCAGAGGCCGTATCTCCTTGCTCGTGTGAGATTTGGGGGTAGTTCTTTCACTGAGATCCCCCTTTTTTTCAATTCCCTATTGGCCCGTGCACTCGGATCGTCCAAAATGCCAAGTCCGTTTTCGCTCGAAATTCAGGCTTTTCTCACGGATGCTCGGATTGCGGGGGCCGTATCTCTTTGCTCTAGAGAGATTTGGGGGTGGTTCTTTCACTGAGGTTCCCCTTTTTTTAAGTGCCCTATTGTCCTGTACACTTGGATCGGCCAAATTGCGAATTTTGTTTTCGCCTGAAATTGAGGCCCTTCTCACGAAAGCCTGGATTGCAGGAGCCTTATCTCCTTTCTCGTGAGAGATTTGGGAGTCTTTCTTTCACTGAGATCCCCCTTTTTTTCAGTTCCCTATTTGACCGTGCACTCAGATCGGTCAAAATGCCAAGTATGTTTTCGCTCGAAATTAAGGCCCTGCTCACGGAAGCCTGGATTGCGGGAGCCGTATCTCCTAGCTCGTGAGAGATTTGGGGTGGTTCTTTCACTGAGGTCCCCCTTTTTTAGTGCCCTATTGTCCCGTGCACTCGGATCGGCCAAATTGCAAAGTCTGTTTCGCCCGAAATTGAGGCCCTTCTCACGGAAGCCCGGATTGCGAGGGTCGTATCTCCTTGCTCGTGAGAGATTTGGGGGGGGGGGGTTTCTTTAAACTAAGGTCCCAATTTTTTCAGTGCCCTTTTGTCCCATGCACTCGGATCGGCCAAAATGCAAAGTTCGTTTTTCGCCCGAAATTAACTCCCTTCTCACGGAATCCCTGACCGCGGGGGTCGTATCTCCTTTCTTGTGAGAGTTTTGGGGGTTGTTCTGTCACTCAGGTCCCCCTTTTTTATAATTCCCCATTGACCCGAGCACTCGGATCAGCCAAAATGCCAAGTCCGTTTTCGCCCGAAATTCAGGACCTTCTCACTAAAGCCCGGATTGCGGGGTCCATATCTCCTAGCTCGTAAGAGATTTTGGGGTGGATCTTTCACTGAGGTCCCCTCTTTTTTAGTGTCCTAATGGCCCGTGCACTCGGATCGGCTAAATTGCAAATTCCGTTTTCGCCCGAAATTGAGGCCCTTCTCAAGGAAGCCCGGATTACGGGGGCCGTATCTCCTTACTCTGGAGAGATTTGGGGGTGGTTCTTTAACTGAGGTTCCCCTTTTTTTTAAGTTCCCTATTGTCCTGTGCTCTCGAATCGGCCAAATTGCGAATTTTGTTTTCGCCCGAAATTGAGGCCCTTCTCACGGAAGCCTTGATTGCGGGGCCGGATTACGGGGGCCGTATCTCCTAACTCTTGAGATATTTGGGGATGGTTCTTTCACTAAGGTCCCCCTTTTTTTCAATGCTCTATTGCCTCATGCACTCGGATCGGCCAAATTGCGAAGTCCATTTTCGCCCGAAATTGAGGCTCTTCTCATGGAAGCCCGGATTGCGGGGGTCGTATCTCCTTGCTTGTGAGAGATTTAGGGGTGGTTCTTTCACTAAGGTCCCCCTTTTTTCAATGCCCTTATGGCCCGTGCACTCTTATTGGCCAAATTGCAAAGTCTATTTCTGCCTGTAATTGAGGCCCTTCTCTGGGAAGCCCGAATTACGGGGTTTGTATCTCCTAACTCGTGAGAGATTTGAGGGTTGTTATTTCACTAAGGTCCCCTTTTTTTCAGTGCCCTATTGGCCCGTGCACTCGGATCTGACAAATTGTGAAGTCCGTTTTCGCCCGAAATTGAGGCCCTTCTCACGGAAGCCCGGATTGCGGGGGGCGTCTCTCCTTTCTCGTGAGAGATTTGGGGGTGGTTCTTTCACTAAGGTCCCCATTTTTTCAGTGCCCTATTGGCCCGTGCACTCTGATTGGCCAAATTGCAAAGTCCGTTTTCGCCCGAAATTGAGGCTCTTATCACGGAAGCCCGGATTGCGGGGGTCGTATCTCCTAATTCGTGACAGATTTGGGGGTGGTTCTTTCACTTAGGTCCCCTCTTTTTTAAGTGCCCTATTGGCCCATGCACTCGGATTGGCCAAATTGCAAAGTCCGTTTTCGCCCGAAATTGAGGCCCTTCTCACGGAAGCCGTGATTGCGGGGTCCGTATCTCCTTGCTCGTGAAAGATTTGGGGATGGTTATTTTACTGAGGTCCCCCTTTTTTCAGTGCCTGTGAACGGGGCGTTTTTTCCAAGGGTCTCCCATGGATAACATGGAGAGCCCCACCACGGGGTCCTCACCGAGTGACAAAGGTTTCGGCTCGATTATTGGAAAAAGTATTGTCCCAAGAAACAACTCGTTCATAGGGCACCCTAATAGTGAATTTTGCAGAGTTTGAAGTCGCCAATGAATTTTAAGGAAAACTCATAAACCACGTATAATGCGCGATTTCTCGCTAATGACTCCATTCTATGGTCATGAACCAAGAGATGGTGATGGGCCTGCGAGGAAGCCATACATAGACAATGGAATGCATCATAAAAGTATGTCTAACGACTTAAACAAGGGTTTCAATTTCGCAAATCAACTTTATTTATACCATGCAACAATGTCAGTATTAATACAAAAATATATGTGTGGTGATACCAAGCAATTATTATTAACTAAAAGTTAAAGTTGAATTAAAAGTTCATTCAAGGTGCCTAGACATGCATTAATATTGTCCAAAGATTTGATCTTTCTTAGTGAAGAAGTAATTTCATATTATCCTTTAACAATAATAATATGGTGATGAAAGCTGTAAATATGCAAATAATGATGAACAATGAAAATATGGAGTTTTAGGCATGTTCAGAAATCTACCCCTTCCGCCTTGGAAAGTAACGAACAGGTTTTCGTGGGGGTAGCAATGCAACAACCTTCTCCTTCCTTGATTTGCACTTAGCCACAACTCCAAAGAAGCATAAAGACTAAAACTTTAATGTGTTTGTGTTTGTTTGTGAGTGTTTATAGTTTTTAATGCTTTTTGTTGTTGTTTTGGAAAACTACGTAATTCCAGTCAAAGAGACTGATTAATTACTCCTAATATTGTAAAACTGTAAGCTAAAAACTGATACTTAAAACTCCTAATAAAAACTGATGATTGAAAACTGAATACTTCCTCTTTTTTCTTTTCGAAAACTAGAAAGGGTTGTTCATATAGAAAAATAAAAGATAATTGGAAATAATAAATTAATTCCCAAAAATCAATAAAAGATAATGAAAATAGATAAGAGATAAGGGAAATAATTAAAAGATAGGAAGATGACAACAATTTTTGAAAGATAAGTGCTGAAAATCAGCAAAAGATTAAGGAAGATAAGAAGATTAGGAAAGAATCAGTCAAAATCCTAATTATCTTCAGAAATAATCGTACAAAAATCACCCAGTTGCGGAGTCGGATCTAATCCAAATCTTCACCAAAAGATAAGAATTGACGAAATGACTTAGGAGAACAGATTTTGGGCTTGCGTCCTTGGTAAGCACGCAAGGGCTTCCCGCTCTAATCTTTTAGGGCTGAGCTTAAAATCCATTGCAGAGCCACGTGCTGAAATTTTGGACCCGATTGCCCTTGCGTCCTTAGTAATCACGCAAGGCTGAAATTGGGCCTGGGGCTCATTTTGGCCTATTACTGCATGTTTTGACAATTTTCATAAAGAAATTTGGCCGCGAAATCATTTAAAACTTAAAAAAGGCCCAAAAACCGCGATTTCTGCAAAACCGATTAAAACCTTTTGAAAATCAATAACAAAAATGAGCATTAAAGTTTTTAAAAAGAAAATTAAAATTGAAAATCAAAATTAAATTGAAAATCATGGGGAATTGTGAAGGTTAACTTCATGGGGAACGGTGAAAGTTTAACTTCTTGGGGAATAAATGACCAGGAATTAAGAGATAAATTTCTCAAGACTTCATTGGGGATAATGAAAATGAGAGAAAATAAAGTAATATCAGCATGCAGGGTTAGGCAATCAAGAATACTCGGACTACTGGATACGAATGCATAGAAGGCAGGATTGAGTAGCCAAGACAAGAGTACTCGAACTTCTTGCAAGGAGATAGGGTTGCCGAAGCAGAGATCCTATAAAAGCTATGGGAAAGCTAAATCCCAGAATGGAAGAATTTCTAAGGAACGAGCTTGTCCTAAGAAACAAACAGAATGATGATCCTAAGGAGTAGTATGTCCTAAGGAAGAAAGATAATAATTCGATGAAATCGCCTTTTCTAAGTAATTGTTAATTGAAGTAATTAATCAAGATGATTAGCATTAATCAAGGACAGGAACCAGGCCAAGGAGGACAAACTGGATCAGTAAACAGCAAATAATGGAGTATTTTGAGGATTAAACAAGATTAAACCCCATTTACGGACAAAGTAGGTCCAGATATAGGCTTTATAGACTATAGGGAGTAGCCTGCCAGAAGCACATGCCCAATTGGCCTTGCGTGCTTGGTGATGACGAGTCCATCATCAGGTGGTGGGAAGGCGGATGACTCCTGTTGATCCTCCGAGTTTGGTGTACACTGGTCATAACTATGATGCTGCTGAGAAGCGACAAGCTTACCGGGGCTGGCCTATACAATGGTTCTTGAATCCCACCATGTCTTATGACTATTTCATTGAGACTCAGTTGATGGTAAGTTTACTTTTTTTTTTTTTTTTTTTTTTTTTTGCAATATTGCTTGTTATTAACCTGTATTTTGTCTTGTCTTTTACAGGTTAGGCACTGGACCTCTGGACTAAACACGGTGAGGCTATATGACGATCGTGTCGGGGAGGCATGAGATGTGGACCTTCCTTTTGACAGGGAAGAGAATGAGGCTAACCCTTTGCCTGATAATGTTCAACAGGTAAATCTTAGCTATCATGTGCTTCTTTGTCATACTTGGTGAACTGTTTTTGACTTGGATGTTTGTGATAGGCCAACCGTAGTGAGATCAAGATCTTGTACAGGGCTTTGAACAATGCGAAGGGGTTCTTGAAGAAGACCTTTAGTAAGGTATGACTATGTTTGAGCTAGTTTGAGTATGCATGGTTTTGTCTTTTATGCCTTTTGCTAACTCTTTTTTTCTTTCTCTGTTAGAAGAAAAGCTCCACTCCTTCTGCTACTGAGGGGAGAAGATCGCGGCGTAGTCAACGGGAGGAGCCCCCTGCTACAGAAGCTAGTGGTGGAGGTGGTGAGTCTAGTATGCCTCACAGGCATTCTATGGACATTCCTGAGCCTTCAGGTAACTGGTGGGATCAGGGAGCTGTTCCTGATAGACACTCCTATGCTAGCTCGAGTTTCTTTGATTGTGGGCAGTCTTCTTTTGACTCCTAATATACATTGACTAGATTAAGATTTAGCCGTTAGGATTCAGAAATCGTGATTTATGCCACTTTTTAGGACTTATGTGCTAGTACCCCTTGCATTATAAATAAATGTGATTAATGCTCCCAAAATCATATTCTACTTCTCTTAAAAAAGTAGAAGAACATAATTATAATTTAGAATTGCCACTTGAGAATTAGGTTAATAGAAAAGAGAAAAGATGGGTGAGGAAAGTTATAAAAAAAGTATTAAAAAGTGGATGAATGGTTTAAGCATAGAAGAATAACAGGAATTCCGAGCCTATCATCTAGATTCATTGTTCTCCTTGAAACAAGTCCGTGTAGACTACGAATTTCTTCGTGCTGCCTGTAGCTTTTGGGACCCTGGTCAACATGTGTTTTGCTTTAGGAATAATGAAATATGTCCCCATCCAGATGAATTTTGTGCCATTGTAGGGTTTCCCACTAATACACATACTGCAGTTCCTTTGAAAGATTTCTAGGATTAACTGTTGCGAATCTAGAGACATGGTTGATGGGAAGATTGTAAACTTGCTGAAGATTGTCCAGAAATTTCGTGATCTTGTCACCAACTTAACCGCCAAAACCTTATACACTTGGTGGAGCAAATTGAGGGAGAATGCAATCCACTCCCCATGGTGGTGGCTGAAACCATTGCTTGCCTTGATCTGATTAGGAACGATCAACGACAATGCTTCTTCGGCAGTCCGGTACTGCTTCAGGTATGTTTTTGTCCGATTTTACAGTTTTCTGTAAGTTCGCAGCCTTGATTTCTATAAATTCATGTATAAAACTTCGAACTGTACTACCCTGTCAAAATTCAATTGCAATTGGCTTTGCGTTATTGGTAATGACGCAAGAACAATCGAACTGTATAACACTATTTCTGGACTGTATTCGTCGAATAAATTGTTCAGACCAAAAATTGGACCCGAAAGGGCTTGCGCTGTTACCAACTGCGCAGGGCCCATTCTTTGCCTCCCATTCTATTTTTGCTTTATGTTTCTAATTCTGCAAGAATCGTCTCAAAATTCGATCGCAACCTCTCAATTTGGCTTGAGCTATTACGAACTGCGCAGAGCCCATATTCTGTATTTCTGCTGTTTTTGCTACTGTCTTGTGAAATCATGACTGTTTTGTTGAAAATTAGTCCGGAATCTGCTTTGAATTATCGTATTTTGCTCTTTTCATGATTTTTGTATTGCTATAGTTCTTGTAATGCAGATTTGGATGCAAGAAAGGATGAAATTGATTGAACAACCTTTGGAATTGAGTAGCTATAGGCCTAAGGGTTTAACCCAAAGGCGTATTTTGCAACAAAGAAACAGTTTTGAGGAGTGGCGTTCCTACATGTCCCATGGTGGCCTGTCCATTCGATGGGTCATTCCATGGTGGTTCTTGAAATCCATGTTGGGTGTTCAAGAAAATGTTGCCTTCATTTGGCTATTTGGGATACGTAACACTACTTACGTATTCTCATGGAGGATCATGCGTCAGTATGGTATGAGGCAAATCATTCCAACCATGGATACAGTTCCTCAACCTCCATTAGAGGTTCGTGTTGGATCTATCAGTGCATGGTATGAATATATGGTGAAACTCCCACATTGGGTAATTACCATCGATCGGAATCCTTTAGTTATTTCTAAGCATTATGTGGCTTGGATGATTGCTACTACTTCCGAGGAACGACTCACTGCACGTCGTGCTGAAGCTACTGCAATGACAGGACCTACTGCCAAAGTGGTCCCTACAGTGGCTAAACCTAATGTACCGGCTGGTGGAAACAGTTCGGCAACTGGAAAATGGCAAAAACGTCCGAATGTTCAATCAAAGAAACAAGGGAAGGTGGCCAAAGCACATGATGACCCGACCGAGCCTCCCGGTTTTGAGTCTAAACCTGTGCAAGTGCAGAGACCTATGCTGAGGGGATCTAACAACACATGGGTACGGACTGAAGCGGTCAAGCCTAGCAAGTTTGATCGACACAAGGATGATGGTGCCTCCAGTTTGAGCATTCCTGCGAATGAGGATGGCAAGATTAATGATAATGACGGTGCTATGGCCGGGTAAACCATAGTGTTTTTTACTTTTCCCTTTTCTTTTTCTTAGAATAAGGTGTATGTGCACCATGGCTTGTTTTGCTACAAACTTTATGTATTGGTTTTATTTCTTTGTTTAGTTTATTGTATTTTTGGACTTTGCAATGGTTAAGGAGTGTTAAAATTTTAATTTTTTAATTTATGTTTTAGTTTATCAGCATCCTTTATTTTGAGAATGAAACATGTCATTTTTTTGTTTATTAAAGTGGCCAAACCAATAAGGTTGCCTACGTATCCTTTTCAGGGAATCAGGTCGTACGTAGTTCAATTGAACTCCAAAATTGAACAAGAGTCCAATCTAATTGAAAAGTACCAAAATGTTTGGATATGAGGATTTAACTTAAATCAAATGGATTCAAGAAAGTTAGACTATTTAGGAATTGTCGTACTTAATGTATTGCAATAAAGACATGTCTAGAAAAGCTAGAATTGGGCCTATAAAATTAAGGCAAACAATAAACCAATTACAAGTGATGCTTGCAAATAGTCGGGTTGTAGGTTGTAATTTCATCACAGCCCAAGTTACTATTTATTGTTATTTTGTTTTTATGGAATTTCCCACGTGGATCAGTCACAGGTGCTCTTATTTCTTTTAACACTAAATCGCCTTCTTTAATATTTCTTGCTCGGACTTTCTTATTGAAAGCGCGCGCAACCCGTCTTTGATAGAATTGAACATGGTTCAAGGCTTGTAGTCTACGTTCATCGAGGCTTATTAACTGTTCATATCGGGCTTTGACCCAGTCCGCCTCAGGAATCTGGCTTTCCAGAATTATGTGTAGTGATGGTATTTCCTGTTCAAATGGTTGAACTGCTTCCATTCCAAATGCAAGGGAATATGGGGTTGCCCCTGTTGATGTTCGGATAGAAGTTCTGTAGCCCCATAGAGAAAAATGAAGCTTATGTGGCCAATCATTGTAATTTTGAGCCATTTTTTCAATGATTACTTTAATGTTTTTATTTGCGGCCTCCACAGCTCCATTTGCTTGTGGTCGGTAGGGAGAAGATCTGTGGTGATTTACTTTATACTTTTCAAGTAAAGGAACTACATCTCCCCTAAAATGCGACCCTTGGTCACTAATGAGCTCATGGGGAACTCCATAGCGACAAAAGATGTTCTTTTCTAGAAAGACAGCTACATTGGTGGCAGATAGTTTTGCGTATGATGCAGCTTCAATCCATTTCGTAAAGTAGTCAATGGCTACTAGAACATACTCGTGACCCTCTAAGCCTTTAGGTACGATTTGTCCTATGACATCAATACCCCATGTAGAAAATGGCCAAGGTGAAATGTAGTTGTACAGAAGTGATGGTGGCATGTGTTGTAGATTAGCAAATTTCTGACATTCGAGACAAGATCTTACAAAGTTAATGCAATCGGTTTCCATTGTTGTCCAATAATATCCTTCCCTGGTTACGTTGTATGCAAGCATACGACCTTTCATGTGTGGGCCGCACACACCTTTGTGGATGTGTTCCATGATGCTCTTTGACTCGATTTGCGAGATGCAAAGAAGATTCAAACCAATGGGAGATCTTTTATAGAGTTATCCCGCAATTACTACATATTAGGCTGAAAGCAGCCTCAAAACTCTTTTTTCTCTAGGTTGAGTATTTGGAGGATACTCACCAGTAGCTTAAAGTTAAGAATGTCTTGGAAACATGGTGCTGAGTCATTTCCATCATCAATGTCGCAAATGTAATTACAGTAAGTTGGTTGCTCCCTTCGTTCAATTGTTAAGTCCATTGTCGGCATATCATTTGGGATGTTCACCATTAAAGCTAGTTTTGACAGTGCATCAGCAAATTGATTTTCTTCTCGAGGTAAGTGATTGAACTCTAAATCTTCAAATTGATCAGTTAATGCGTCCAAATGATTCTGATAGAGTGTCAAGTTCGCGCTCCTTACTTTCCATTTCTTGGATATGTGATTGATTATGAGCCTGCAATCCCCGTAGACCTTTATTTTCTTAATTCAAAGACTTATTGCAGCTTCAAGTCCAACTATGCAGGCTCTAGCACGATTTCCACAAAGTTAGAAATATTTTATAAAATATAATATTATTTTCCAAAAAAATGGCATTTACAAGCACAATAAACCAACAACAAGTTCCATTATTCAATGGTAGCAATTACGAATATTGGAGTATTCGGATGAAGACTGTCTTACGCGCATTTGGCGTATGGGAAGTTTTTGAATCTAGTATACCAACAACTAAACCAAATGAAGGAGAATCTAGTGTAGGAGGAGTTGATTGGCAAAAGAAGGATGCCAAAGCATTAGCAAAAATTCACCTCGCTACTACAGACTCAATTTTTCCTCGAATAATGATTGCTACCTCAGCAAAACAAGCTTGGGTTTACTTTATGAAAGAATCGTGTTGAGAAAGAAAGTTCTTCTCGAATCCTGAATCTCAGAAGCGACAATGGCACAGGGTACATGTCATCAAAGTTCAACAAATTTTGTGATGATGAAGGTATACACCATCAACTTACTGTTCCATACACACCACAACAAAATGGTGTGACTGAAAGAAAGAGCAGAACCGTTATGGAGATGGCAAGATCAATGCTCAAGGATAAGGCAATGCCTAACATGTTTTCGGCAGAAGCAGTTTATACATCCGTGTATCTTCAAAATTGACTTTCAACAAAATCAATATAAGATCGAACACCAATTAAAGTCATTTAAGGGTATTTAGATGCATATGTTATGTTCATATACCTGATCAAAAGCGTCACAAACTTGATGATAAAGTTGTAAAGGGAATTTTCCTTGGCTATAGCTCTCAATCTAAAGGATATAGAGTATATAACCCATATACTCATAAAATACAAGTTAGCAGGGATGTAATCTTTGACGAAGGTAGATCCTGGAATTGGGAGGAAAGAGACATTAATAAAAGATATGTGACACTACCATTAGAGCAAGAACAACAATCTACACCACAAATATCAATTCCAAATAATCAGACGGGTCAACACTCGCAAGAGGAGATCGACAATAATGAGCCTAATTCTCATGGTTTTGAGTATGGTAGCTCTATATAATCACCTCCAAGGAGGACACGCAAAATCTCTGACATATATGACACAACTGAAAGAATTCCAAATCTTGATCTTGAACAATGTGACTTTTGTTTTCTTACCATCATGAACCAGTAAATTATGAGCAAGCTTCTCAATATGAAGAATGGAGAGCTTCTATGAAAGAAGAAATTCGCATGATTGAGAAAAATAAAACATATATGGGAATTGCAAGATAAGCCACCTAACAAAGATGTGATTGGTGTAAAGTGGATATTCAAAACAAAACTCTATCCAAATGGCTCAATTCAGAAGCACAAAGCCAGGTTGGTAGTAAAAGGATATTCACAACAATTTGGCATCGATTATAATGAGACATTTGCTCCGGTGTCAAGACAAGATACAGTTAGAGTAATTCTTTCTCTAGCCGCGCAACGAAAATGGAAAATTTATCAACATTATGTCAAGTCAGCTTTTTTAAATGGATTTCTCGAGGAAGAAATTTATATTGAACAACCTCCAGGTTTTGTAGTGAAAGGAAAAGAAGATAAAGTACTAAGGCTAAAGAAATCTCTATATGGGCTCAAGCAAGCTCCACGAGCATGGTATAGTCGAATTGATGGTTACTTTATTCAACAAGGATTTAAAAGGAGTCCAAATGAAGCAACATTATACACAAAAATGGATGGAACTAATATCATTATCTTATCACTTTATGTGGATGATCTAATCATTACTGGAAACAATCCAACAATGATAGAAGCATTTAAGCAAGATATGATGAAGCAATTTGAAATGACTGATCTTGGTCTAATGAATGATCTTGGTCTAATGAATTACTTTCTTGGCATGGAGATTGAGCAAACAGACAATGGGATTTTCATAAGTCAAAAGAAAAATGCTGAAAACATTTTAAGAAAGTTTAAGATGGAAAATTCCAAACCGGTTACCACCCCTTTAGCTCAGAATGAAAAGTTGAGCAAGGAAGATGATTCCGAAGATGCTAATGTCAAACAATATAGAAGCATAATTGGAAGTCTATTATATCTTACAGCTACAAGACCAGATATGATGTATGCAATAAGCATGCTAGCAAGGTTTATGCAGAAACCAAGCCAGACACACTTACAAGCGATTAAGAGAGTTCTTCGTTATCTAAAAGGAACCTCAGATTATGGAATATGGTACAAGCCCATAAAAAATTCTAAACTAGTTGAATATTCAGATAGTGATTGGGCTGGATCCATAGATGATATGAAAAGCACATCAAGATATGTATTTTCACTTGGAAATGGAGTATTTTCTTGGTTAAGTGAAAAGCAAGATACAGTGGCTCAATCAACTACGGAAGCTGAGTATATTGCAGTATGTGCAGTAGCAAATCAAGCAATATGGCTAAGAAGAATCTTAGCAGAAATGGGTGAAGTTCAAAAACAGGCTACAAAAATATTTTGCGATAGTAAATCTACTATTGCTATTGCTAAGAATCCAGTGCTTCATCGAAAGACTAAACATATAAAAATAAAATATCACTTTGTCCGTGAAGTTGAAAGTGCAGGAAAGATCAACTTAATTCATTGTGCCTCAGAAGAACAAATTGCTGATATATTCACAAAAGCTCTTTCGAAAACGACTTTCGAGCACTTGAGAGAAAATCTTGGCATTCAAAGGAAGTTCTTCAAGGAGGAGTGTTAAAATGTGAAGGCCTTCCTTGATTTTCTCACTGTCATCAATCTATATATATCATTAAGAATAAAAAAGGTCCATTACATATTTATATTTACATTATATATATATATATATATATATATATATATATATATATATATATAGGGTCGGGATCCGGTGAGAACCACCTTCTATGTGAGAACACATCCTATATGTGAGAACCAATCTCAGCCATCAAATTGTATTCAATCCAACGCATGTGATTAATCACATAAAACTCCTAAAATCACACCTAACTGTCATCTCTCTCCACCTAGCTAACTAACTTCTCTCTCCACCAAGAGCTTCATCAATGGCGCCTAATCAGTAACGCTGTTTCTCATTGCTTCAGATTGCTTCATCAATTGCTTCATCAAAGTAATCATAAGCAAGTTCACACCGACCTTGTTCGCCTTGCGCTATATTACTAATCGCGATTGCAATCGTTGCTACAAATCAAATTCGCCAGGTTATTGAATTGAATGTTAATTTGATGATAATTTTTGATTTTTTGGTTTGTTCTGTTCTTATTAATTTGCATATTTAATTGCATCAATCGCCAGGTTATGAATTGCATGTTAATTGCATGATAATTTTCGATTTTTGTGGTTTGTTCTGTTCTCATTGAATTGCTTGTTTAATTGCATCAATTATGGATTTGATTGAATTTACTTCTTTGAAATTTTTTGAATTAAATCAACAATTTATGTTTGATTAATTTGATAGAAATTGAAAATTTGCAATCAAATTTAAAATGAGCAAATGAATATAAAATGAGCAAACCTAAATATTTGTAATAATATAAAAAAACATATAATGAGCAAACATAATTAAATTGAGCAAATCCAAATATTTAAGTTGCAGAAGCAATGAAAATGAAAGAGGTAGCTGTAGCTAATGAGCAAATATTTAATTGCTCATTTATCAAATGAGAAAGTGGTTGTGCTTCTTAGATTGAGCACTTCTGTGTGCTATGATAATCTGAAATTACTGTGTGTGTGTGTGTGTCTAAGAATGTATGGTTTTTGTAGGCAAATATGCTATACTAAATGCTATATATGCTAGGTTTTGCAAATCATAGTGGAGGGTAGCATTATCAACTTTTACTCCTTTTCAAATCATCTAGTTTCTGCTATCAAAGCATTGAGTTCCTTGGTTTTCTTGCCTGCACACAAGCCCCACCCCCCTTCTTCTTGGTCTGTTTCCTGCACACCAACCACACTCCCTTCTTACACTTCCTTATACAAACCTATTCCCCCCTCCCCCCTCATCTTTCTGTTTGCAATTCTGATTCTAAATCTGATTTTAGATCTATTTTAGATTCTGAAATTATTTTGTGTGTGTGTGTGTGTGTGAATAAGTGTAAGAGTTCTGCTGTAAGTAGTAATTAGTATGGTTAAAAACATGATTCAGCAACACATATGAGATTTTTAATGAGCTTCCTTAAACTATTTTATGGAATTGTTACTAACCTGTTATTTCTATTATATTTAATGTCAGAAATGATGAGCAACAACGAAGAACTTGACAGTCATTCTAGTACCATCACAAATGTGGCAACTACTCCTACAATAGTAGTTTCTCCTAAAGTAGCACCTTTGCTCACTCCTAGAGGAACAAAAGAATGGCTTCCAATATGCCCCAATGAGTTGAAACCAGCTATAGGGATGAAGTTTAATAATCTTGAAGAGGGCCTTGAATTTTATAAAAGATACGCATTTGCTGCTGGATTCAACACAAGAAAGTCTACAACTAAAAGGCAAAGAAGAAGCAAAGAATTGAAATCACAGTATATCTTATGCAATAAAGAAGGATACAAAGAGAAAAGAAAGCCTACTATTGAAAAAGATTCAAATAACAACGAAGGAGAAAGCAATGAAGAAAAAACTTCAATCAAAAGGAAGAGACTCGTTACTCGTGTTGGGTGCAAGGCACATATTGTCATAAAGCATTGTGATGATAACAAATTCATAGTGTCACAATTTCATGAGGGACATACTCATTCATTTTATACACCTAGTTGCAATCTCTTCCAAAAAGAAGGAAGAAAAATGAACATATTGCACAAAAAAATAATTGTGAATAATTCTAAGGTACGACTTTCAAAGTCTCTTACGTTTCATGAATTCTCTGTATGTTCTAATAAAAGTAGTATGCTCATTTGAAAAATGAGCATTAAATTATTTGCTCATTTGACAAATTGTTTTGTTCTTTAAATAGGTGAATATTGGTCCTGTTGCAACTTTTCGAATGATGAAGGAAATTGTTGGAGGATATGATAACATCGGTGCATCTAAGCAAGATTTCAAAAATTTTCATAGAGATTTGAAAGCATACATTCAAGGAAGTGATGCTCAAATGTTCGTGGATAACTTTACCAACAAAAAGCTAATGTGGAGTGCTTTTTTCTTTGATTTTGAGATGGATGAAGATTATTGCCTTTGTAGAGCATTATGGGCTGACCCCCTTTGTAAAAAGAGTTACGCTCTTTTTGGTGATATGGTATCCTTTGATACCACATACCAAACCAATAGGTAATTCATAAAAATCACAATTCATTTTTATGTTATAACTATAGCTTAAATTAATAACTTTGTTTTAAATGAACTTAGTATAACTGTTTGCTTATTTCACAAATGAGCATTGACTTATTTGCTCATTTCAGAAATGAGCATTCAATTATTTGCTCATTTGACAAAAAAGCAAACAATTGTTTGCTTATTTCACAAATTAGCATTGAGTTATAAGCTCATTTGACAAATGAGCAATCAATTATTTGCTCATTTGTCAAATGAGCATTGAATTATTTCAGTAGCTGATGACAATTCTGATTTCATAATCTGATTTCAGATTCTATTACAGATTGTGAGTGCGTGTATGTATGTGTATGTATGTGTGTGTGCGTGTGTGTGTCTGTGTCTAAGTACATGTGTGTGTATGTATGTGTGTGTGTGTAATTATTTGATCATTTAAAATTTAATCTGTATGTGTAAACAAGTACAACATGGTGTTTACTCCATTTACAGGGGTTGACCATCGTAAGAGCTGGATTACTTTTGCTGCTGGTTTCATAGCGAAGGAAGATATAGTGTCATTTGAGTGGTTGTTCAGATCATTTCTTAAAGCAATGGGTGGAAATGAACCGAATTGTATGATTACAGATCAAGATCCAGCAATGAAAATTGCTGTTAAAAGTGTGTTTAACAAGACTGAACATCGGTTCTGTATGTGGCACATAATGAAAAAGTTACCAGATAAGGTGGAGAAATCAATCATGCAAGAAGAAACTGGTTTCCTAAAAAAATTATGTGCTTGTGTTTGGCATCTTGAAATTGAACCTGCTGAGTTTGAAGAAAGGTGGAACAAGGTGATGGTTGAATACCACTTGGAAGAACATGAGTGGTTAGGTTATATGTACAAGATAAGGAACAAGTGGATTTCGGCGTATTTCAGAGATGTGTTCCTTGGAGGAATAATGCGTACAACATCAAGATCCGAAAGCGAAAATAACTTTTTCTGCTCCTTTATCAATCCTCATGTGTCACTTGTTGAGTTTTACTTGAGATATGAAGCTGCAATTGATGCCCAGAGACACACTCAAGGTTAGAATGATAATGATTCAAAGCACAAATATCCTGAGTGCAAAACACCACTAGGGATAGAAAAGCATGCCTCGCATTTATATACTAACTCTGTCTTTTATGAATTTCAATATGAGGTTGAAATTGCTTGTTTTTCTTGTGGTGTTGATGAATTGAAGAAAGAAAATGGATTGGAAGTTGCAAAAGTAAGTGAAGGAAATCGAATTAGAACATTTGATGTTGTGTTTAATCCAACTAACTATGACACCAAATGTTCTTGCAAGTTGTTTTATAGACAAGGTATTCCATGCAGGCATATGATTTGGGTTTGGAAAGCAAAAAGGTTTGAAACCATTCCTGAGCAGTATATGCTACACAGATGGACTACTATGGCACTAAAAAAACCAATTTTTGACTTGGGTGGAAACCTGTTGGAGCAATGTGCTAATTTAATTGACAAGAAAAAATTGTTAAATGACTTATGGTCAGAGATACACACTTGTGTAAGTTTGGCAGAAGGAAATGATGAAGATATTCAAGATCTTGTGATAAATCTTCAAGGAATAAGAAAGGATTTGGAAGCTAAGAGGATTGCAAGAAATAATGAAACAACAGGAAGTGCAAACAACAAAGCACAAGACATTGAGCTATTGATTGGAGCTAGTGTGCCAACTGAAATAATTGTCAAACCTCCAAAAATTTCAAAGAATAAAGGGACTGGAGTTCATGTATCAAATGAAGAGACTTCAAAAGAGAAAGGGGCTGGGATTGATGTGCCAAATGTTGAAACAAGAGGTAGAAGTGCAAAAAGGCTGAAGGGAGAAAAAGAAAAGGATGTAGAACAAAACCAGAAAAAAGAAGAGATTATGTAGAGGTTGTGGTGAATTGAGTCACCATGATATTAGAAATTGTCCAAAAAAAAGTGTAATGATAACTTTACATAAATATAAGATTTAATATTTTTGGCACATCTCCTCATTATATATTAAACATTTCAATTCAGTAGCTGATCATAATTCTGATTCCATAAATTAATTTCAAAATCTAATTCTGAATCTAATTACAAAATCTGATTTCAGATTGTATTACAGGTTGTGAGTGCGTGTAAGTATGTGCATCTGTTTCTGTGTGTGTCTGTGTGTGTGTGTCTGTGTCAGTGTGTGTCTGTGTCAGTGTGTGTGTATGTGTGTCTGTGTGTGTGTCTGTGTGTGTATCTGTGTGTATCTATGTGTGTATCTATGTGTGTATCTGTTTGTGTGTGTCTGTGTCAGTGTGTGTGAATGCATATATGTGTGTCTGTGTGCGTATGTATGTGTATTTATGTGTATATGTGTGTGTAAGTGTGTGTGTGTGTGTGTTCTTGTTTAAGGGAGGAAGAGGGTTGCAGGTGATCCTGCTATTTTTCAAACAATAAAATGCAACACATAAAAAAATACCATAAGAAATAATAAAGATCCTGGAAATTTGTGTTTTAAATTTTGTTAATATTCTGTTGATTTTATATTTCTTAACAGAATCAATTATTTACTCATTTGGAAAATGAACAATCAATTTTTTGCTCATTTAGCAAATGAGCAAATAGGTAGTTTCTCATTTGTCAAATGAGCAAATAAATAGTTGCTCATTTGTCAAATAAGCAAAATTTATTTTTAACCATTCATTAAATAAACAAGCATTTCTTCGCTCATTTGTTAAATGAGCAAATTATTCTTTGCTCATTTGTCAAATGAGTAATTTGTTCTTTGTTTATTTTTCAAATGAGTTAATTATTCTTTGCTCATTTTTCAATTGAGCAAATAGTTAGTTGCTCATTTGACAAATGAGCAAAGAATAATTTGCTCTACCCTTGAGCAAATAATTGTTCTTTGTTTATTTGCTCAAATAAGCAAATAAGCAAATGTTTATTTGCTCAAATAGTTCATTGCTCATTTGTAAATCAACAAATAGTTCAAAAAAACGGTAGGTATAAATGACAAAGTATTTCAGGTAAACACAAAAGTCACCATAATCAAAAGTCACCATTTTTACATCATTCAAAAAATAACAATTTACAAGTTGATTAAATCATTGTTTCTCTACTTCCCTAAAATTAGAAAGCTATGTCAACACCTTAATCAATACTACACCAAGCAAAATATTGAGGTAACACTAACAAGTAGCCTTTTCATCTTAAGCTTTTTCTTCTTCACCCTTTTGTTCTTCAACTTTTTCTTCTTCAGTCTTAGGAGAAACTTTCTTCTGCTTTTTCTTCTTTTGAGGAATTTCTTTAACGGATTGAATTGTGTTTATTTCGCTTGAAATTATTGCCAAGGTGTACTTCACACGAAGTTTTTCCATGATTATCACCTGTAAAAAATAGGAAAGAAAAAATAAAACAAGAAAATTTTAAAAAATATAAATGTATAAAGCAGGGTGAAGCACGAAGCACGTAGAAGAAGAATAGAATAAGTAATAAGAAACCCAAATTCTGCTTCCTTTACATTTATTTAAAAAGAAAAGTAGCTTGAAATCTTGCTAAAGGTTCACTGGGTTCACTGAATTTTGGTTCAATTGCTCTACAGTTTGTAGTCCAAGTTTCATCTGAGTTGGAAAAGGGAAGGTGGATGATTGGTGTGCAAGGTCACTCAGAACCATCTGCTACTTATATTGGACATAAACAGAATTCTATTAGAAGTTGTGGAAATTATGTCCTGTTTTTTTTAATTATTGAAATGTTGGTGCAAAGCCTCTACTTCAAGAGAAAAAAAAAACCAGAGTAGGAAGCTGCCTTAGTGTGCTACCTTTTCTGCTATGCATAAACAGATGGAAGCTTGGAAGATTTCACTTATCAAGGATGCATAATCCACAGCCTAGAGCACTAGTTGATGCCAGTTTAAGTATGTGCATGTGTTTCTGTGTGTGTGTCTGTGTCAGTGTGTGTATATGTGCATCTGTCTGTGTGTGTATCTATGTGTGTGTGTCTGTGTGTGTATCTATGTGTGTGTCTATGTGTGTATCTGTGTGCGTGTGTATGTGTATTTATGTGTATATGTGTGTGTAAGTGTGTGTGTGTGTTCTTGTTTAAGGGAGGAAGGGGGTTGCAGGTGATCCTGCTATTTTTCAAACAATAAACAGAATTCAAATTAATTCAGTCAAATAATTGCTTGCTCATTTGAAATATGAGCAAATTATTGGCTGCTCATTTGACAAATGAGCAAGATTTATTTAAATTTCTATATAAGAATAATAAAAAAAAATATTTTGGTGGTGCATATAAACATACTAATATCCTTTTATTATCATGAATTTTCTTTATCATTCAAATTTGCACTTTACATATCCATATTCTTATAAACTCAGAGAGTATTAGAAATTAACAAGTAAAAATTGTACGCCTTGTAAAATCCAGCAAACAAGTATCTAAGGACAATTCATATAAGATGAAAGACTTACATTATTCTTCTTCAAACCTGAAGCCCACTTTGACAAACCCATGTATGTTTCCATAATCCTCATCAATGCAATTCCACAGTGCAAATGATTATTATCTGTAGACTTCCAAGGAGAATCAAGTGTAACATGCTCCATGCGCTTGATATTACTTGACAACACAGAGCTCTGTACATTTCCTTCATATTGCATAAAATTGTAAAATGCACTTCTTTGAAAATAAACATGTCAAATGAGAAAAGATAATAGATATTTTTAAAATCTAATAATTTTACTGAAATAAGCAAACATAATGTTAGTAGAAATTAACTTTTAAACCGTACCAAATGTTTTAAAAGTTGTGTATGATCTCCGGAATCTTCACTATAATCAATAACCTCAATATTACCATGCTCTGTGGTAGTGTTGAAACATACCAAGAAATAATGACCTATTTCGTAAACTGGGGAGAAGAAAAGTTGAATGTCCTTCTTTGGGACAACACTTTGGCTGTATAACTTCTGAGCAACCTCACGAAACATAGTATTCCGATAACTAACAGAATCAATCTCATAATGAACAAGACACTCCTACATGTTTAAAAAAAAAATTAATACAACTGGAATACTGTAAAATACTTCAAGAAAATAAAATAAATTAAAGAATATGAACTTACAGTAGCAGTAACATTAAAAAAGAAACAAGCAGGAGAACTTGAGCCTCTAAATTGCTCATTATAATTCAAAATACTACACCAAGCATTAATGATTTCTGAATCAATTTTAAGGTGAGTATACAGCTTTTCAAGTTGAAATCTCATGACTTCAACATCATGCACTCCATTAACTTTGGATAAAAATACTAGATCACTGCATAAAGGAATTAAAAAAGTTAATATCACTAAAGCAAATATGAATTAGTATACAAGATAGCAAATTCAATAAAAAAAAATACTTACAAATGATTTTTATCATCAATAAACAGAGCTTCCAAGACAGTTTTCTGAACTTCTGATAATGTAGTGTAAATGTTGATAATCCGTGCCTTAAAAGGTGATCTAAGCAGCATTGATGGTTGAACTTTACGCTTCTTCAAAACAGGAACATCAGCACCACCTACAGCACAAGGAACATCAGCATCGGCAGCATCGGCAGCAACTGAAGGTCGTACAGGAACATCAGCATCAACAGCTACTAAAGGTTGTACAATAGTTGGGGAGTTCTCCGGATCATCAAATCCTAAACTGAAAGTAGGAGTTCCAAATCCTTTTTTAACTGAAGATCTCAAACCAGATCGAATACTTGAACCGCCTACAACTTTTTCAGTTTCAACTACAATAGCAGGACCTTCATTTTCAGAAAGACTATTTGCTATCTGAACACTTTCAGCCGCAATCTTTGTAACATCAATGGCTCCTGTTACGGTTGGACAATCAGCCCTAGCAAAGACTGAGGATTCAACATTCTTCTCATTAGCAGAAATCTTGGAAAATCTATCCCAAGCTTCAATGACGGTTGGATCTTGCCAATACTCATCGTCTTGGCTAAAAGAAAAGCTATGATTTTCTGGCATAGCTTGAGAACTCAATCTTTGCTCGTCACAAATACCCATTGCATCTTCCTTCAGCTTTCGTATTTTCTCATTGTGAGGAAAATGCTTCACAGCTAGTTCATGTTTTTCATGAAAGTCCATGTATGCCAACACCAGCTTAGTCGAAGACGCTGCAAGATCCATTAAGCATTTCTAGAAAAAAAAAACATAAATAAATAAGATAAATATAAAACAAAAGACTAAATTAAAAAAACATAAATAAAAAATCAATGGTAAAATATTTGCTCATTTGTCAAATGAGCAATTAATTTTTTGCTCATTTGTCAAATGAGCACTAAGGTTTTTGCTCATTTGACAAATGAGCAAAAAATTAAATGCTCATTTGACAAATGAGCAAATATTTTTTTGCTGATTTCTCTACTCCATTGATGCGCCATAATAGAGTGACACATTGCATCATTATTCAACTGTTGCTGATACTCCACAACCCAATTTTGCCAACCAAACTTCACAGAATAGAATTCAGAACATTGAGTTAGAATGGATGTCATTAAACAACAAAATAAATTAATATTAGATCTACATTAAAAATCATATAAATACCTTCTTTGGATCTACTTCAACATCTTCATTAGTTTGTGGAACAGTTGGAACAGATGTTTCCTGAATGCAAAAAAAAAAAAAAAAAAAAAAAAAAAAAAAAAAAGTTAGAATAAGTTGGGATCGTTTGCAATGAAATCTAACAAGATTTGGTCCAATTCAATTTAATTCTAAAAGGCAAAAAAGCTAAGTATTGATTGAAAGTGAAATACCATTTTTGGTTGTTTGCTGCCAGAAGGACCAACAACCTTCAGATTTTTATCGAAAATTCCAAGCCTCCCCTTAAAAATTTCCAATTTCTCACGGCTAGACAACATATTCGTTGTCCAGCCTTTGAGAACAAGAGTTTCTCGTTTCGCTCTAACTTCCTCAATGACAAAATGATCAACATATAAAAGCTACAAACAAGTAAGATAGAAAAGATTAGTACATTAAAATTAAACAAATAAATAACAGTTAATGCATAAAAAATAAAAAAATAAAACATAGAAAATACCAGAACCAACCCTTACTGAAACCTACCCACACATTTCAATTCTGATTTCAGATTCTATTATAGGTTGTGAGTGCATGTATGTATGTGCATCTGTCTGTGTGTGTGTGTATCTCTGTGTGTGTCTGTGTGTGTGTGTCAGTGTCAGTGTGTGTGTGCATATATGTGTGTCTGTGTGCTTGTATATGTGTATTTATGTGTATGTGTATGTGTGTGTGTGTAAGTGTGTGTGTGTGTTCTTGTTTAAGGGAGGAAGGGGGTTGCAGGTGATCCTGCTATTTTTCAAACAATAAAATGCAACACATAAAAACATACCATAAGAAATAATAAAGATCCTGGAAAGTAGCGAGTAGGAAGCTCATCCCATTTGATCTTCGCCTTCACAAGAGAATCAAGGATAAACTTCGACCAATTTAAATCCTTGATTTTAGCCACATTACTCAAATATCTGAGAACGTCATGATTAACATTCTTGTTTTGTCCTCCTAACATAAAATAACAAAATTAAAAAAATATGATCAAACAAAAACTAAAATGAGCAAAATGAAACTAAAATGAGCAAAATGAAATTAAAATGAACAAAATGAAATTAAAATAAGAAATATGAAAATGAAAAAACTACCTGACATTAAAGTGGAAACACAAAGAACTACGAAATTGCGTTTGAACATTGGCCCAGCTGATTTATGGTTCTTCAAGTACATTGAAAGTTCCCTAATGTTCACAGATAATGAGTTCTTTGGGAACTGTTTTTTCCACTGGTTAATAACTTTATCATCCTTTGAAAAAATATTAGCATCCATCTCCATGCCTCCAGCTGGCAGCCCTAGGACATCATGTACATGTTGTTCCGTAATTTTGAAAGGATCGGAATCAGGAATATTCAACGTACAACTATGAGCATCAAAGTGCTTGACTAACCAAAAACCCAATTGCAAAGGCAGTTGGGACACTTTCAAAAACTCCAAAGACCCAAATCCTATAGCTCTAATGGCAGTCAACTGATCTTCAGAAAACTCCTTATTAACATTAACAACAGATGAAGGTGACATCCTATTACGCAACGTCCCATAAACAACAGATTTTAATTTCTGCACTTCATCAACAGCATCTTCACTGTCTGGATCCTCAAACTTCACATTATGCTTTTCTTTCACTCTTTTTTCAACCTTTTTTGCTTTACCCTTTGTAGCAACTACTTTGATTTTCTTTTTCTTTTTTTCACTGCTCTTCTCCTCTGCCACTAGAGCCCCTGATGAACCGGCCTCGGCAACAGCCCCTGATGAACCTGCCTCGGCAGCAGCCCCTGATGAACCTGCCTCGGCAGCAACCCCTAGTGAACCAGCCTCGGCACCAGCCCCTGATGAACCAGCCTCGGCAGCAACCCCTGGTGAACCAGCCTCGTCAGCAGCCCCTGATGAACCGGCATCGACAGTAGCCGCCCCTGATGAACCGGCATTCGCACCAGACTCCTTTTCAATAGAATTCCCGCTGATACAATATCATAAAAAAAAAGTCAAATATCACATAGATTTAACGAATAAGGAAAAACATAGATGCTCATTTCTCAAATGAACAAATAGTTAGTTGCTCATTTGTGAAATGAGCAAACATTAGTTTGCTCATTTGTGAAATGAGCAAACATTAGTTTGCTCATTTGTCAAATGAGAAAATAATTTGTTACTTATTTCTAAAATAAGCAAAATAGATAGTTGCTCATTTGTCAAATGAGCAAATACTTAGTTGCTAATTTAACAAATGAGCAAATAGTTAGTTGCTCATTTGTCAAATGAGCAAATATTTAGTTGCTAATTTTACACAAATGAGCAAAAACATAGATGTTCATTTGTGAAATGAGCAAATACATAGATGTTCATTTATGAAATGAGCAAATAGTTAGTTGCTCATTTGGGAAATGAGCAATCAGTTTTTTGCTCATTTGGGAAATGAGCAAACAGTTTTTTGCTCATTTAGAATATAAGCATATAGTTATTTGCTCATATGTCAAATTAGCAAGCATTTCTTTAATAATTCATTAAATCAACAGGCATTTAATAAGACAACATAAAATAAGGAAATAACAAAACACGTACATTATCCTTTCCAAATGTACATCTGTATAATCTTTAGCATTGTTAATATCAGTAGCAACTGAAGAATCCATAGCACTGTTACAAAAAAACCAAAAAAAATGTAAGGTAACTTAATCTACAATGTTGCATCTATAAACAGAAGCCAGCAACTAATAAACAGAAGATGGACAAGAGCCCAAGTCAGATGGTTGTTTCAACTTAGGAATGCAAGCTAGTTTCTGTTTGTTTCCTTATTAGTTTTCTGTTTTTTCTGGTTGTATTTTGTCTGTGGTGTTTTTTTCTGTTTTGATGCAGAGGCTTATGCCATGGTCACTAGTGACTCAAACACACAGTTTAGCAGAACGAAGGATATAAGGCCATATGACTGAGTCATTGCCGATTTGCTCCTTTAAGCTATTCCAGGGTACCACATACTTCAAAAAGAAAAACCTAACTCACTGAAAACTGAGTTTTACTTGTTGTAGTACGAGTATTATCCAACACGACTTTGTCAATCAACTTTATAATAATCATAATAATAATAATACTTCTATATACCTTGGTGTATTATTTATTGTTATTATATGAAATGGGATATAAAGATATACTAGTAATAATTTAACAGAAATTAAGACGACTTTTGACCAATAATTTTATACAATCATTAATTTTAGTGGTGAAATATTTATTTATTAAAGAAAAATATATGTGAGGCTATCAACAAAAAAAGAACTATGCTTGGAATGGTCAAAAGATAATAATGCAGGCAACGGATAGTTGAAATGATGCCATTGTTCTCTGTAGTTGGTGGCTGACTAGCTTGCTTTCGCTTCTACTCCTGATAAAATAATTCTCTCTATTTTATTTTACACACAGCTAAAGAACAACTACCAAATCAGACAAAATATTGCCAATGAGATCTAGAGTGCTTTGGCACTACGAAAACCATAATTTCAGCTATTATATAAAAAAAAATTGGAGCTACTTGAACTGTCAAACGAATTGACCAAAAAAATTTTGGTTGATTCGTAGTTATCTGCTGGTTTGTCGATAGTTCTAGCTTATAAGCCAAACGCTAACATCAAATAGGTTCAGGTCAGGTTTTGCAAACTCAGTTCTTCTACATACTGTTCAAGTCAAGAGCTCATGCAAAAAGAATGTGGTACATCAAACACAAATGTAGCAGCAATAAGCAAGTTTCGTAAACTGAGTTCTCCATAATACCGTTCTGGTCCAGAAATTTTGCACAAAGAACAGAACGGTGGTACTTCAAACACAAATGTAGCAACAGCAGGCAAGGATGAAAAATCAGCAACCAAACCAAAAGAAAAGGAAATTTAGCAGTTTGGGGAACTAGTTCAAAGTTCAGCTATTTTGAATCAAATCCCAAAAGAATAAATAACCATTATCTTATAAATTTACACACATGTTGCTAGAATGTCATTCCAAACTTTGTTTTCTTTCGAGCTATACTAACAACTCGTATATATCCATCTATAAACTCTAATCAATTTAGATTTATGATAAGGCATGCTTAGGAAGTGCTCTCTATTATCTTTAAGACCTTCTTTTGTACTTCAAGTGTAGCAGTAGTTAAGGACCCTAACTAAAGCATTAAGCATACATAGTCCTGCCATTGACAAAAACAGTTATATACAACATCCACTGTTGCTAGAGTAGATTTTAATAGCCTATAGCCCCATAAATCCAAGCCCCGACATTATAAAAAACAAAGCACATTTAACATACATACAAGCTTCGATCCGAAAGCAATTAAAGGATTAGTTTAATTGAGTGTCATCAATCATAGCAATCATAAAATTGAGTGTCTCCACGGTCTGACTTCCCACCCCCCCCCCCCTTTCCCTCCAAACAACTGCTTAATGTTTGCACGAAGCTCTTGTAAAGTTTCTACAAAACAATAGAGCAACAAAAATCGCAACAAAACCACAACATAATTTCTCAAATACACAACCAAAGCAAGAAGACTTGTAAAAACCTAAATTCAGACAAAATAAAACTAAAAATAACTTGATAATTACTCAAAAAAACGAAAAAAACTAAAAACAACAAAAAAAAACAAACTAAAAGATAATCGACACAAAGTAACCTAAAATTAATGAGCTAAAATCATAACAAATTAAACGAAAAGGAAAACGAAAATCAAGCAAAAATCGCAACAAAACCAAAGCAAGGACACTTAGTAAGACCTAAATTCAGCCAAATAAAACTAAAATTAACTTGATAATTACTCAAGAAAACGAAAATAAAACTATAATCAACAAAAAAACGATAATCAAAACAAATTAAACGAAAATCAAAACGAAAATAAACAATGAATGTAACATAAAATTAATTGAAAAACAGCAAATGTATAAACAATAGACTCACATTAACGAAGAATTGATGAAGATTGAAGAACTTGTGATGAAAAATCAAAGAGCAACAGAGTAGAAAACCGTAATATTGAAGGAGGAGAGAGAAAATTGAGCGAAAGGAAGAAGGAGGAGAGAGAAAAAACGCAGGAAATGAATTTGAAATAAATGAGCTTTGTTTTACCGGGTTGTATTATGACCGTTGGATGAAATTGATCCAACGGTTGTAATATGTCCTCACATATAATAGGGTTCTCACATAAGGGGGGTGGTCTCATATGATCATATATATATATATATATTATTTCTATGGCACAATAATTAGCACTATATCCTAACAATTCCCTATTTTATGGTAATGTCTTAAGTAGTTTTTCATTATTCCTCTGAAAAATAAACAATACGAAAGCTTTCATGAAAAATTTCTGCCAATTATGTATATTGTATAATCAAATAATCCACTTAACATAATCTTGGCTTTTGGGAAAAATTCAGAGGGATGTTCATGGAAATTTGGGGGAGTTTTGGAGGAATTTTGGTACGTACATTCTATTCTACAAACAATCGAAAGCGAAATTTGTAGCTAGCCAAATCTCGACAAGAGATTCTGAATTGGGGATTAGTGTTCGAACTTTTGTTACATCAATGGAGATTAAGTTCAAGGTTGAAAATTGGATACTTGGAACTGTATCAATGGCAGCAAAAAACAGTTTTTTTTTTTTTTTTTTTTTTGTCAAAATTAAAGTAGCTTTTTTTTCTAAATTAAAGTAGCTTTTAAAAGTCAAATAATAAATGGACAAGATTAAACTATAATATTGAAACGGTTGAGATTAAAAGTAGTTACAATAGCTATAATTTTTATGTAGCCATTGAATAGTCATTCATAGAATTAAGTGTGATATAAGATCGTTACCTTACGCATTTCAGTTCATATTTGCTGTTGTTGCTCAAAACGCTCTTAAAATTTAGAAAAAGTTATGCCGAAATGTATGTAGAGCTCCCACCGTGGAAGGAACATCAATATAACATTGACAAGTTGAAACTTAAAGAATCCTTAGGGACCTAAAAATGAGGAACTAATAATCTAGAAGGGCTGAAAAATTACAACATAATTTTACTAAAATAAATTATTATTTCATGCTCTTCCCACCCTGTAAATAGGAGGTATCATGAATAAACCAAGACCGATAGTTACTATGTCACACCTTTTAGTATACACGACCTTTGAGAAAAAGGGAGTATTTCTCATGTGTATTTAATGAGACCCTTTGTCATCTATGCCAAGTTAATTTAATTAATGCATGTCTTAATCAAAATATATAGACTGAGATATTGAAACGAGAGGCTTCGGCTTCGTTCTATAAGACTGCTCAACGACCTTTTGAATATGCATGATGGTTTTGATGATGAAGGATGGCTAAAGGAATGCAAGAAGCTTATGATTGATACATTCCCGCGGGAGGATCCTTTCAGCATCATTGTTCCTACAGGATTCGACTCAGATAAGGTACACCGATAACTACAGATTTCCTTCCTACCCTTTTGTGATTCAAGTATTCAATCTTGGTGCACTATGTAGCGATTATTATATACGAAGTATTATGTTATATTTAGTAAAATTCATCCGTTCTTATTTAGTTTAGGAAAAATTGCGGAAAATAATATAACTTTTAGGCGGTTCTTTTTTAATAGTAAAATTTGTGTGGAAGGGACTTATATGTTTACTATTTTGTTTGGAAGGACCTTATATGCTGAAAGTTGTCTAAAAGGACCTTATAAGTACGTTTTGTTGTTTGGAAGGACCTTGACATCGGAATTCGGCATTTGACTTTAATTCTCCGGCATTGACCCCGCACGTGCATGTCACATGGCATTAAAAAAAAAAATCCTCTCCCTTTTTTTCCCCTTAACATTGGAATCCAGCGATTGACTTTGCTAGTGTTTTGAAGGCTAGGGTTGGAGGAAAAGGGGGAAAAAAAGGGAGAGGGTAATTTTTTTAATGTCACGTAACATGCACGTGGGGGGGGGGGGTCAATGCCGGAGAATCTAATAAGTTAAACGTCGGACTCCGATGTCAAGGTCCTTATAAACAACAAAACATACTTATAAGGTTCTTTTAGACAACTTTCAACATTAAAGGTCCTTCCACACAAAATAGTGAATATATTAGTCCTTTTCAGATAAATTTTCCTTTTTAATAATACAACCTTTTGATTAAGTCTTAATAATATAACCTTTGGAGGGTGTCAATTTTAAACAAGACAAAAAACTTGTAACCTTTAAAACCGGTTACCCATGACACGTCTTATCATGTAATTGGTCTGGATATTAGTTTTTTAAAAAAATTTAATTATTTTTAATTTGTAATTTTTAACAAAAGTGTTTAAAATTAAATTAATTCCTAATTAAGACATTAATTGTACTTTATATTATTTTACAAATTAAAAAAAAAACCCACTCATCCCTCTCCTCTCCCCGACCCAGCCAGCCACCATATCTCCCACCTTCGAGCCACCTCCTCTC